TTTATTCACATGATTCATAAATTTGATATTTTCTTGATGTGTTCGGATTTAGGTTATATAATTCTTATAAATTGTGGATCATATAGATGTTAATGATGATGGCAAGACCTAGAGAGAATCTCTTAGTTGGTGTTAATTCAATATGTTTGGATTTTATGGCTTTAAAAAATCAGTTATTGGGAGTGTTTTTTTTTTTTTTGACAGACAGTTATTGGGAGTGTTGGGACCGATTAAAGCTTCTAATTAGGGTAGTACTATTTATACTTTTTAGGGAAAGTCTACTATAAGATGCTTTTTTGTTGCTTCTTTCGAATTAATCTTAATGCTCATTTGCGGCTCTCCGTTACTCATGCATTTCAAAGTATCAATGAATATAAAACCTCAGATTTTTAGGAATCTCCTTATTCTATAAACTTTACGGTGTCGATTAAAGCACATAAAATCCAAACCAATGAGGTTGGAATATTAAGCCTACAAGCTAATTAGTAGCTCTGTTTTACCAAGTTTGCAAATTGCAATACTGATTGTCAAGAACCATTCCCTAGCACTGTGGGATGAAGCTATATATTATTTGATCCAACGGTTGGAGAAAGTGTACAAGATGAATTGAGTAACCAAAGGTTGACCATATATGAGTGTTGGTGCCTTAAACCTTACGGGTCTGTTTATTTTTATTTGTCTATGGGCTCCTATCGTGATGTTAGTACTAAGTCTTTGTACCTTAAATATCCCATAAAATCTTGATTATAAACTGTAAAATCTTTAGGATTTACTATTTTCATTTTTATACAAATTTGAGATTCGTGCTAAGTAAAGAAAATTTCATACATAGTCGAACAACTGTCCCCGCACGAACCAGGTGGAGCATTCTCTTCCCAAAACAAGCAAGAAACCTAATCCATAGTTCATCCCTTGCTTCCGCATATCCGTTGAACTATCGCTAACTCTAAAGCCTCCACCATAACCGCTTACCACAATTTATGACCAATGATGACACTCAATTTATAGTGTTTATCACTACGATATTTGATACATTTTTTCCTTCCATCAATACATCTTTAGTACTTTCTCTTATATTTTATATATAAATCATAGCTATTTGATAAATGAGCATTTGATAGACCTAGATTGTATTTTGTATTCTTTTATGCCTTCTTGGTATGTTTTTGTGCCTTTTAGGGTGAAATTTGGATGACGCATTCGATGACTCTGAAGGGCCAAATGAGCTAAAGAAAGAAGCATATGTAATTTTCATGTTAAAGACGAGGTCCACTGAGGAGAAACCTACCGGGAATCACAAGTACAACCCAAGATGACCCCAATGGAAGAAGGCTCAACCAAACCTAGAGCAAGAACCTGTGGCGGCCCGAGCATACTTGGTGAAAACACGAAGAAATCTTTAGGAGAGGTTGCTTATGGTCCAAGAAATCCCGGCCCATGAAGAAAATCAGTGGCATCCCAGCCAATGTAGTCAAAAGCGAGTTTCTATGTAGAAACGTTTAGGTGATCTAGAAACGTAAAATCGTAAAAGCGGAGTTTTTTACTACATAAGTTATAAAAAGTGAGATTTTATGTAGAAGCGTTTTAGTGACCTAGAAACGTAAAATCGTAAGTTTTTAAGTTTTAATACACGATTTTGACTACATTGATTCCAGCTGCTACGCAGCCGCCACTCCAAGGCCCAATCCCAAAAATATCGATCTTTAGGCCATACTTTAGCCCCAAGTCAGAGAGACCTTGTCCTAATAGGGTTAGGAAGGATTTGATAAAGTTTCACCTCTATAAATCAGGAGCTAGACTCATTAATTAGTTCAGTAGGCTGCACAATTCCATTCAAAACTTCTGTACACACTCTATTTTAGTGAGATCTTAGCATTCGTAGGAGAGGGTACATCTAAGGAGATGCATTTATCATTGATGGTGGTACCCTCCTTCTCTTCTATGTATAGATAGTTCAAAATTGATTGTATGGGAATGTGAACTCATTTATCTTTATATGTATTGATGCTATAATTTCATTTGATGCTTGTGTTTATGCTATTGTATTTTAATATCTATCATGTATGTATGGATGCTTTTAGTTCGATGCCTATGTGATGATCATTGATGTTTATCTAGTATGAATGCTTTCTCATCATCGATGCTTATGATTATATTGTATTCTACTATATGCATTGTGCTTAGTATCATCTAGATTGTTAGATCATCGATGCTATAGACCATCGATTATGGCTCAAGAGGCCTACACTTTATCATGCTATCCTCACTTCTCTGTCTTACTGATTAGGTGATGGAGAACACACGAATGATCAACCACCTATCTTCACTTCTCTGTTCTTCATTCAATCCATGTGCTTAAATCAAATGTTATTATTGGGGGATCTTGAAGATTCGAGTACACGACCACTTGGTCAAATCAGTTCTAATACCATGTTATAAACTAATTGGTCCTAATAACTCTAGTTATTGGGAGAAAGTTAATTATGGATTTTATATCATTCTCTTATATTTGGTAAATTGTAGTGTCCCAATATCAAATTACAGGAACTACCACCTTTTTTTCCCCCAAACTCAAATTGCTATTGGGGGAGCGATAATTTTTACTCCAAAATTTAGGAATGTCCTTCAAATTTTTTTATGTAAATCCTACATGGCTCTCAATATGCAATTGCAAATGGAATTGCACAAATGTAGTGCGCACTTGCAAAGATGCAAGTTTGATTAAATGAAATTGAAGATGCAAGCCACATGGGATAATAATAAAAAAAATCTCTCTTGATTATTTATTGTATCTATCATAAAATCACTTAAACCCTCATGTATACAATTGCAAGTGAATTACATTGATGTAGGTGCAATGAAATAGAGTTGAATTGGATTGCATAAAATTCGAGAAGTCAATAAAAGCATCATATATATGCAATTGGATTTACAATTTCATTTATATATGCTCTGAGATGAAGAAATCGCGGAAGCCAAAGAGAGAAGTTATTGCCGATCCAAGCCTATTTTCTCATAAGATTGTCCCTCTTGAGAAGAAAGGGTTGCACCCTCACCCTTCTCCATTCTCGTGTGAGTTATGACCGATCTCTTCCTTCTAACGTACCACATTTATCCTACTGATCTCTAGCTACGTTCTAGACTGGAAAAATGACTCTTCAGTTTTATGATTAAGAGGTCTGGGGGTTGGCTCAATCACGAAGGCTAGGAGGTAAGAAATTGTGATAGATCCCTCTCGTTAATTAACTTCTTTCTTTGTGTGGCACACAGGAGCGGATTCGGTCAATAACTTTGTGATCAATAACTATGCATAATCCAATCAGACTTCGTCACATCAGCGCTCTTTCTCTCTCTTGAGAAATCTTTAATCCCCCCCCTTCATTTTTAACGGACGATTTCTCACTCTTTTTAAGTAGAAATTTAATTATTTTCACAGTTAGATCAAATTAATTGTGCTCTTCAAAATTATATTCACTTGGATTGATATATTTTTGGAACAAAAAAAAAGAGCCATTTTTTACAAGTCTATACCATATGGTATTGACTAGTATTGAAATAAGAGCATAACTATGGTATGAAAAGTGTATCATGGTGGTATGAACAAACCAAGATGTAGGATGGTTGACTACATGATAGTAGAAGTACATTGACTGTTATTTACAACTTTTAACATTGTGTATCACAAGATACCACCCCGTACCAGGGTGGTATTGTGTGGTATTTTTTTGTCTTGTATTTTGTTCACCCAGAAATTTGTAGATCCAATAGATCATGATGAACTCGTTCCTCCTGTGCAAAAATTTTCAAAAACGAAGAAGATATCATATGGTATGCAGTTGATACCGAGAGGCATGAAATATGTTCCTAAAAATATTAAAATTGGATATCATTTTGTAGATCACAACGAACTCGTTTCATCTGTGCAAAAAAAATTGAAATCCGAGTTAAAATTATACGTTTGGTCACTAAAATTATACAAATCTTTCACGTTTGCCACCCGAATTACTTTTCTTTCTTATTCGCCACTAACTTTATGAATCGTTTCACGGTTGGTCACCGGCCGTTACACTCCGTTAAGTTTGTCCTACGTGGCAGTCAACTATAAAGTTTGACCGTTAACTAGATGACGTGGAAATTAAAAACAATTAAAAAAAATAAAATTTTCTTTCCACCTCATCATTGCACTTATTTTGTCTATATAATTTATCATATTAATAATTTAATAAAATTTAATAAATTACAAAAATGGTTAACAGAGGACGAATGGATCGCGGCTATAACTCCCTAAACAATCTACAAGCGCGAGCCAACCTCCGACCTTACCAACGCACTGGTCGACGACCCGGAACTGCGCGTTGTAGAGACAGAGCTTGCAGTCGTCGTTAGATATCCGATCGGAATAGTTGGCGGCGGCGAAGACCAAGATATCGCCAGCAACAGCACGTGCGCATGTATTGGGGTTGTCGTTCGTTGCTAAACCAATTGCGGCGTCCATGGATTTCAGTGCTAGGGTTCTGAACTTGTTGCTGATGTCGAGGGAACCAAGCAGCACGCCGCAGTCACCGTCGATCTTGTCAGTGTTGTAGGCGCTGTTGGGGACGACGACGACGAAAATGCCGTCGCTAAAGATGAGCAGCAACTTCGCGATGATGAGGACGGCGGTTGATGGAGTCATCGTCATGAGGATGTTGATCTTCGTTGTTATTGGATGGATTCAACTTGAGCTTCAGTAGTATCTCTGATAGCGGGGATTGATTGATTGATCGATCTGTTATTGGATTCAAGTTGTACGTGTATTTATAGATTAAGGAAGGAGTCTCTCCATCAAATGATATGGATAGACATGCTATTTTAGTGACTTCAAACTCTATATACAGTACACAAAAAGGAACGTATCTCCAATGGCAAGGAATAAACACTGAGCTATAAAAACCAAAGTCCGCAAGTTACAACGATTGCTCACCCAAAACACACAAGAAGAAGAAGAAGAAGAAGAAGATATGAATTACAGGTCGAAATTCGCAGTAGCTTCTATCGTTGTTCTGGGTATGGTTTCGAGCCTTGCCCACGGCAAATTCCCAGACATGACAATCATGAAGGGACCAGACTGCATGGGGAAATCCGAGAGCAAGTTCTACAACCACAACGTGGCGCGCCTCGTGGATACGTTGGTGGATTAGACGAGGTACGGATACAGAAACAGGAACAACGACCCATCGTTCACGCACAACATGCCGAATTGCAACCCAGGCTCCCCGACAGGCGGTGCGGTTTGCTACGAAGACCTGGGAGAGTACGACTGCTGGAACTGTCTCTTGACGGCTAAGAACAAAATCCACGCTGTAATTTATTAAATTTTATTAAATTATTAATATGATAAATTATATAGACAAAATAAGTGCAATGATGAGGTGGAAAGAAAAATTTATTTTTTAATTTTTTTTAATTTCCACGTCATCTAGTTAACGGTCAAACTTTATAGTTGACTGCCACGTAGGACAAACTTAACGGAGTGTAACGGCCGGTGACCAACCGTGAAACGATTCGTAAAGTTAGTGGCGAATAAGAAAGAAAAGTAATTCGGGTGGCAAACGTGAAAGATTTGTATAATTTTAGTGACCAAACGTGTAATTTAGCCGTATGAAAAGTGTATCATGGTGGTATGAACAAACCAAGATGTAGGATGGTTGACTACATGATAGTAGAAGTACATTGACTGTTATTTACAACTTTTAACATTGTGTATCACAAGATACCACCCCGTACCAGGGTGGTATTGTGTGGTATTTTTTTGTCTTGTATTTTGTTCACCCAGAAATTTGTAGATCCAATAGATCATGATGAACTCGTTCCTCCTGTGCAAAATTTTTCAAAAACGAAGAAGATATCATATGGTATGCAGTTGATACCGAGAGGCATGAAATATGTTCCTAAAAATATTAAAATTGGATATCATTTTGTAGATCACAACGAACTCGTTTCATCTGTGCAAAAAAAATTGAAATCCGAGTTAAAACGAAGAAGATATGAGCCGATTAAGAAAACAAGGGAAAAATAAAAATATTTTTAATTCTCCACCTTTATATCTGGATTAACCCATGGTTATGCACTGTATATTGAGCCGTGCCACACTATGTATTTTTTGGATTCCAGGGCAACTTAAGCCGACAAAAGCTCAATTTATGTTTCCTAGATCATAGATAATCCTTCCACGACCACTTGGACTTATACGGAAGTGATTCCGGTTGCGAGGTTTTCCCGATCTTGTGCGCCCACTGCCGGCTCTGGCACCTGTGCCGGAGCAGCCTTTTCCTCCTCTTTCTCTTTTCTCATGAGTGTTGTAAGCGAGACGGTGGCCGCTAGCTCGGAGCCGTCAATTGGCAAGGTTCAAGGGGTTCCCACAAAACCCTGGGCTGCGCTCTTTGGCATCTCGGAGGCCAATCGTCTTACGTACATCAAGCCTGAAGTGATCAATGGAGGGCTTTGAATGCCTAAAGTGGTTTGTGATGCCGGGGCGGCTAGATGGAAGAATTGTTAAGTCGGTCAGTTTCTGCAAGATCCGCCTTCGCTGTACGTTCTTCGTCGCTGAGCAAACAAGCTCTGGGGACGCGATGGTTTGGTTCATGTCTCTTTGCTCTATGATCGTATGCTTCTTATTCAGCTGCCAAATCCATAGGTTTGTGAATGGATTCTTGAGAATGGCCCATAGTTCTACCTCAACCATCTGCTTTATCTTAGGCCATGGGTGCCAGGCATTAGTGCTGAAGATCTAGGGCGGAAAGCACTTCCAATTTGGGTTAATCTTGCGAATGTGCCACTTGAGTACTATGATTTTCAGGGTCTTAGTCGAATTGCTAGTTGGTTAGGGATTCCATTGGGTATTGATCATACAACGAGAATGGGTGATCAACATGGTTATGCAAAGGTGTTATTCGAGCTTACTCTGGATAGTGAGTGCCCGGATCATGTGGTGTTGTGGCCTGATGACGATCATTCCTTGAAGGTTGGGGTTACCTACTGTAATTTGCCGCCCATTTGCCCTGTTTGTCACTTGTTTGGCGTAAAGGGTGATTGTGCAGCATACCAGAATCACCAGGTTGTTACCACTGAAGCTCCAGTGCAGCACCCTTCTGATGCGGGGTCCATCTCAAATGCAGTCCAGCAATGCCAAGGGTATAGATAAAGCCAAGGCGACAGTGATTTATGATGAAGATCCCCCAATTGTCTGCTATGGTGGGGGCGCCAATGGAAAGGAATATCACTCCATCAAATCTTGAAAGCTCGTTTCATGAGGTAACATCTCCAAAACTTCCTTCTGAGGCTGAGTTTCAAAGGGTGGTTCATGGAGCCAAACCCCGCATCTGGTCACCGAAATCAATTCCTCATGATACTTTTCAAGTATATGCTTCTACATTCAGTATCTTAAGTAAGTTGGGGGATAGAGAGCTAGTTAAGTTGCAGACAGTACCTAAGAAGAAAGATGGTAAAAAGGAAGGTAAGAAGGGAGGGGTCAAACCCTCGTCTTCTAGATGATTGTGCTCTTTTGGAATGTTAGAGGGTTCAATAAACCCTCTAAACAGCGGGACTTATGAAGAGTCTTGCAGAGTAATAAGGTGGATATTGTAGCAGTGTTAGAGACTAGAGTAAAGGCAAATAAGGCAGAGAAGGTAGTAGAAGGTAGTAGAGGAAGTGTTTGCGGGTGGGAGAAATGCTTGAATTGTGTGGACTCAAAGTTGGGCAGAGTATGGCTTTTTTGGGATCCGATTATTAAAGTTAAGGTGTTAAAACCGGGGAAGAGCTTTATCCATGCAATAGTGGAAGGGTTGAAGAAGGAATCCTTCTTTTTAACTGCTGTGTATGCAGCAAATGATGAGGAGGAAAGCCGGAACACATATGCAGAAATAGGTAAATTGAGGGTTGCTGATCATCCCTAGATTGTGGGTGGAGATTTCAACACAATTCGAGTACCAAGTGAAACAAGTAATCAACAATCAGTCACTTCTAGCATGACAGATTTCAATGATTGGATTGGGAATATGGAGTTACTAGATTACAGAACCACAGGCCCTCGGTTCACATGGACAAATAGGCAGCAAAATAACCCCATTGCAAGACGGTTGGATAGAGCTTTGGTAAACTTGAAATGGATAGAGCAGTCCCCTGATTGTGCTATAGAGGCTTACCCATCATCTTTCACAGATCACTGTGGTGTTCAAGTCTTTACAGCTGTGCCAATAAAATCACTACCAAAGCCTTTCAAGTACTTTGAATTTTGGGCTGAACATCCTCTTTTCTTGGAAACAGTAGAGAAAGCTTGGAAGAAGGATCTTAAAGGGTCTCCACTACAGGTTGTTCAGGGTAAGCTGCAAGAGGTCAAGATGGCCTTAAAAAATTTCAATAAAGATATCTATGGGGATTTACAAAGTCAGATTAAAGCAGCGGAAACAAATCTAATGCAAGCCCAAATGTTAGCCCTATCAGATCCTACTTCGGCTCACTCTGCTGAGGTAAACAAATTACAAACTAAATGTGCTCAACTTCAGGTAGCCAATGAAAGTTTTCGTTGGCAGAAGTCGATAGTATCTTGGCTGAAGCTAGGAGATAAAAGCTCGGGATTCTTCTATCAAGTAGTTAAAATAAGATCTTCAAAGAGGGCAATTCGAAAGTTGGTTTCTACAATAGGGAAGAGCTTGTTCAGTCAGATCAGATAATGGAGGAGGTGATTAGCTATTATAAAAGGCTCTTGGGTGAGGTTAATCCAGAGATTAATCCTAGTAGTGAAGAGGTAGCAGCTCTGGTCAGAAGTACAATCACGGATGAGGGGAGAGATCTTCTTGTTCAACCTGTCAACGTTGAGGAGATCATACGAGTAGTCTTTGGGATGAATCCTCAAAAGGCCCCAGGGCCAGATGGCTTCTCAGCTGGGTTCTATAAGCGAACGTGGAACATAATTGGAGAGGATGTCATCAAAGGGATTCTTGATTTCTTCCAACAAGGTAAACTTCCTAGTGGTGTAAATTCCAAGGCGGTTTCATTAATTCCTAAGACACCAAATGCAGATACACTTAAGAACTATAGACCTATATCTTGTGTGAACCTATTATATAAGATTGTGGCTAAAATTCTTTCAAATCGACTTAAGTTTTGACAACTATTATTAGTCCCTCACAATCAGCATTCATTAAAGGCAGAAGCATTATGGATAACATCCTGCTAGCTCAAGAGCTTGTTAGTGGTTATCATAGACAGGGGCTTTCATCTAGGTGTGCTATCAAAATTGACATAATGAAAGCTTTCGACTCTGTGAATTGGAACTATCTGTTCCTTATGATGAATGTTATGGGCTTCCCTGAGCAATTCCTGAAATGGATTAAATGTTGCATTCAAACTGCACATTATAGCATAAATGTCAATGGTAGTCTTTGTGGCTACTTTCGAGCTAGGAAGGGGGTTACTTAGGATTTCCATTGATCACATGAAAATTGTCTTCAATAGAGGTGGACATACTGGTTGACAGAATCACTATAAGAATAAAGTCTTGGCGAGCTAAAAAGCTCTCTTATGCGGGTCGATTGCAATTATTAAACTCAGTCTTGATGGGGATAGTGCAGTTTTGGATGCAACCTTTTGTTCTTCCAAAAAAGGTGTTGAAACAGGTGCAAAAAGTCTTCTCCCGGTTTCTGTGGCATGGCATTGATTAAGGGAGAGCAAAGATTGCTTGGGAGAAGCTAGCGTTTCCGCAAAAAGAAGGAGGATTGGGAGTGAAAGATCTTCATGCCTGGAACTTAGCTAGCACTGCTAGAATGTTATGGTTGTTTCTACTTAAATCTGGGACTCTCTGAGTAGCATGGATGTATGAGTATAAATGCAAACAGGGTGATTTATGGTCGATGAAATCTCAGTACAACAGTTTCTGGACCTGGAGGAGATTACTCAAAACAAGAGATAGACTAAGGCCATGGATACATCAAAGGGATGGTGAAATATATTGGGGAGCAAAGCTGATGCCTGTATATTCTGTTCGACAGGTTTGGGAGTCTTTGCGTGCAAAGCAATCTGAGGTGCCTTGGTTTAAGCTCGTATAGAGTAAGTTATGTTTCCCTCGTTACAGTTTCATTGCATGGCTTATCGTGAAGAATGTTATTGTGACGAAGGATAAGCTACTGAGCTGGCGGAAGTTGACGATTACTTCTTGTCCATTGTGTACATTTCCAATGGAGTCTAGAGAACATCTTTTCCTACACTGTTCTTTTTCTGGCAGCCTTGTCTCGAGTTTAAATTGCAGGTTGTTTGATGCTGGGGATTGGGATACAATGCTAGCTACAACAAGCTCTATGGTTCGACCCTCAGGAAATGCGAATTGGAATGGGGTTGTGTGGTGTATGGTGATGGCTTCTATATGGAGAGAGCGCTGCAAAGTTGTTCATGGTGGATCAAGGTCGGATCTTGAGAAAGTTGCTGCCCTACTGCAAGCAGATTTGCAATACTTGGTTGCTCGAAATGCCATGCTGCAAGAAGACGTAACACGTTTGGGGTATCTTTAAAGACCGTGGTGTTTTGAAAGTTTTGTTGGTAGCTGCTATAGATAATTGTAAAGTAGAGTGTAGTTGCAGTATGTTCTGACACAGAGTCTCAGGGGCTTTGTCTTCGATGTATTGGTTTCCTTTTTCACATTAATAAGAGAAAAATTGATTCAGCGAGAAAAAAAAATTATACGGAAGTGGATTTCGGGACCAAACGAGTGATATATCCTAATTCTAAGTTAGATTGATTATATTTTATCGTAATAGATGTAAGAGTAATATGATTCATAATTCTCCCACAACTCGAGTTATTGTGACCTGTTGTGTTGTGATTTAGTATTAGATCTTATTTGCTCAAGTAATTATGTGTTCGAATCTCCACAGTTCTCAAGATTGACTTTTAATTTAAGTACAAGATAATGACGAGGATAATATATATGATTTATAAATAATATTCTCTCTAGAATACTAGTTATATGGACCCGTTGGTTCATGATAATAAAGTGGATTCTCATAAGTTCCCAAATATTTTCAGACTCGTGACCTTCAAGAAACCCAAACCCAAAAATCAATAAAAATGCATACGAGTCCATTTATGTCCGTCCAATATCCATATGGATCATAACAATTTGGTCACCTTACCTTACGTGTTGAACTATTGTTATTCATAATAATACTGGGTTTCTCATTGTTGATAATTCATTTTCCAGCTGTGTAATAAAATTTTCGGCTTCATAATGGTTGTAAGACCTTCACATGAAAAAAAAAGATCAGCGATTACATCTAAATGAACAAATGTCAGCAATGACTCCAGCAACACAGTAAAAGGAAGCGCCAAGGAAGGACCGGAGATTCCGTCCGGCCGGAACAATGAACATGCATGCATGCAAGTACGGATATTAACAAGTGGTTCCATGGCGTGTACCTGGTGAGTGGCGAGTGACGACGGCGATTATATAATAAGCACCCACGCATCTATCCGCTATGTAACTCCATTGTAAGTGTTTGAAGAATTTCCTCCTCGAATTCATAGGAATTTCCTGCCACTTGGTAAGAGTAATACAATCTGTTGCATGCTCTGACGAAATATAATGACGATTGGAAGGATGAGGTAATATTAACCAGATAAAATTTGCAAAAAATGCTGCAAAGGTGTAGCCAGAAATCAGATAAAATTTGTGCCCTTCAATTCTGCATGAGGAATTTCAATCGGACTCGTTTTGAGGCAGTTACAATTGGGTGTGGGCAGATAATTTTAAATGACTCGTTTTAAATGACTCCTTTTGTAAAATTGAAACAATTGGTCAAATTGTCTCATTTTTCATTTAATCCATTCAAACGACTCCATATTTTTTTTACGTGATTTTGAGATTTGAGAGACTACAGCTTCCCTGCCATAAACGTGAAAAAAAATTATTTCATTTATCGGACGTTTACTAGATTGATTTTGAATACGGTGGAAACTGTTGTGTATTATTACTCAAACCACATAGGGTTTATATAGAGTACAAAAACTGACTTCTATAATAATCCTGACACTAATACGGAAATTACCCAAAATCTACGACTCTGATAAGAAATATAACTCTCACAATTACATAACAGTACTCGTAGTATAATATAATACTACTCGTACTACACATACTTGAATACCCTCCCCAAATTGATGGTAATTACTTACCAACAATTTGAAAATCGAAACAAAAACTAACACAAAAAAAAAATCTATAACTATCACACGGATAGCTGCTACTAATCCCAAACTTCATGCCGATGTCGAAGAAAACCATGCCCCACGAACACAATGATGATGAACTGGATGTATCAATATCTCTTGCCAAAATTGCCTTGTCGCGTTCCAAACACTTGTCCTCCAAAGAAGCTCACGTAAACAAACCAAACTTCTACGACTCTGATAAGAAATATAACTCCAACAAATTTGAATCCCATAACACTGAAAATTATTTCATCCTCTCATTCCAAAAATTTTGTTTGTTCGTTTGTAAAATGAAATCTAGGTTACTAAATGATGAAGGAAACAAAACCAAGCTTTAACCGCAATAACCTAATGGTTTCATCACAAAAGTTTTCCCGGTATTTTATTTTTCTTTCCCCCCGTTTGTTGGACAATTCACCTACTCCAACAACGACAGTTATTTTGTTTCCATACTCCTAACAGTGACAGTTGAAACCCAAGAAACTATTTGCTTGACATCATCCATGATCCATGAGACAACGACAAAGGAATTGATATGCATAACAGTATTACACAATCCACCTCCATTAGATTTCCCCTTTTCACAAAATAAATTAAACAAAAGAAGAAGAAAAAAAAGGAAGGGACATGCAGAATATTGAAGGGGAGGAAAAAGGGTCCTGGCAGGGAGGACCGGCCCAACTCGGCTTCCTCTTCTTCTTCTATTGATCGATCAAAGCCATCGGCTTGACCATCCAGATACAATGGACTCAACCCAAAGCCTACAGAAACGATTCAACACACACGTGTGAATAACGCCAAGCCACCCGATCCTCCACGTGGGCCACCAGATACAGCCAAACCCACAACTTAAAAAGTTACGTGGCCACCACTTATTTTAATACAAAAAGAATACCTCTTTCCCCGCACATATAAATACGCAAAGCTAGCTTCCACTTTGCCATGCACCACCCACCACCCAACTTTACTTACTTACTTTCCTATGGAGCCTGGAAACCAATCATCGGAAAACGATGTGAAGTACCGCGGCGTGCGCCGCCGTCCCTGGGGCAAATTCGCGGCGGAGATACGCGACTCGACCAGGAACGGGCAGAGGATATGGCTGGGGACGTTCGACACCGCGGAGGAGGCGGCCAGGGCTTACGACCGAGCTGCCTACGCCATGAGAGGACACATCGCTGTCCTCAACTTCCCACATGAGTACCCCATGGGCCGGGGCCCATCCGCGGCAGCTTCAGGCTCGGCCGCAGCTGGGTCGTCGTCGTCTTCTTCTTCGAACCCACGAGGCTCGTCATCTTCTTCGCCTCAGGTGGTGGAGTTCGAGTACTTGGACGACAGGTTGCTGGATGAGATGCTGGAGCAAGAAGAGAACAGGAGGAGGAACAACCGCTAGTTAATGAGATGACTGACTCTCTAGCTGGCTGGCTCGGTAAATTGAAGCTAGTATAAACCCTTATTGCCTCCTTCTAAGTTGATGATTATGACCTATGTGTGTGGAACAAAGTATTCATATGTATAAATATGAGCTGAAAGCTCAAGTTCAAAATCTAGGGTTTCGTTTCCTTGCCATGTCCCCTTTTGGCCCTCGTGGGGGAAAAGGTCCATGGCAGGGTGAAGGAATGGAAACCTGTTGTGTTCCTCTTAAAGAGTACTTGATGATGAAGTACGTACATCAATGTATCCATAAATTTGGAAATGATCAATTTGGGATCATTTGGATGGTCGGCCATATATATATATATATATACAAATCTGGCTTTGTTGAATAAATTGGTTCTTAAGAGGAGTTTTCCAATTACAGAAGCTAGGATTGATGAGTTGCATGTGAATGAAGTTGGTTGTGATTTCAAGCTTGAGGTGACAATGAAACTTGTTGCTCTTGTTTGATCCTACATATTCATACTAAATTTAGTGTTCATGGAAAACACAAGCTACTAAGAGACAGATGGATGATCCAACTAGCTAGTTTGAATGCCTTTATGTTCTGTTATTGCTTGTTAAGAGTCATATGGACTGTCTTTGTTAACCGCTGTAGACAGACTTGTTGAACCTAGCTAGTCCGCGACTTAGAATTATATTGAACTGAACATTTGGTCCATCCTTCAATAGCACTAGACCAAATTATGTATTAAGGTCTTGAAAGCAGCCACCTGAAGATTGTCAAATTACCAACGACTTGATATGAGAACCCTTAAATCGTAGTGTTCAATTGTAGTGTCTTTAGTTTTTTTTAACCCCAAGCCTCCTGCAGAATATGGTCTTGAGCAGCGCAACCAGCTATGATTTCATTTGCCATTCGATGAATCAAGTATATGGCCATGAAACCCTAGCTAGATTGCCAATCACCTAATTCTTCAAGGTTCCATTATTCAGTTGTTGGGGTCACATATATGTCTTTCTGAAGCTTTATCCTATGCAGTAGCCTTCAAAATCCAAGTAGCCTTCAAAATCCATGTAAAATGGGTTTCGAAAAAATCACAAGAAAAATTACGAAAATGCCCCCAAAAAATCGTCCAAATCGGCGATTAATAAATTTCATAATCGGTGGAGAATACCTCAAAGCCGCCTTAGGGCTAATCCGTGATCTGTAGCCTTTAAAATCCAAAGAAAATAGCATTTAGAAAAAACCGCCTAAAATCTGTGCTGGTACATCTTTGGAATCTGCAAAAAATAGGGCTGGAAAAAATCCGCCCAAATTAATGCTTAATAGACTTAATTCGGTGAAGAATAGCCTCACACCTCACTTGTGATCCTTAATTTTCAAAATCCAAGTAAAATGGCTTTTCGGAAAAATCGCACAAAAAGTTGTGAAAATGTCCCCCGAAAAAATTCACCTAAACCGGCAATTTATAGACTTCATCATCAGTGGAGAATAGCTCTAGGCCGCCTCAAGCCGAATCTGTGATCTGTAGCATCTAAAATCCAACAAAAATTTGATAAAATCGTCCGAAATTTGTGATGGTACCCTTTGGAATCTGCAAAAAATGTACTCGAAAAAAATCCATCCAAAAATTGGTGCTTATTAGACTTAACATTGATGAAGAATAGTCTCGGGCCGAATCCGCTATCTATAGCCCCCAAAATCAAGGTAAATTGGTATTTTGAAAAAAAATCACACGACAAATTATCAAAAATGACCCAGGAAAAATTTCTCCCAAATCGGCGATTAATAGACTTTATCATCGGTGGAGAATAGCCCCAGGCCCCCTCAATCGAATCTATAATCTGTAGCCTCTAAAATCCAACGAAAATAGCATTTCGATAAAATTGCCCGAAATCTGTGATGGTAGTACCCCTTTGGAATCTGCCAAAAATGAAATTGGAAAAAATCCGTTCAAATTGGTGCTTATTACACTTAATCAATAATGAAAAATAGTCTCAGGCCTAATCTGCGGTCCGTAGACCCCAAAATCAAGGTAAAGTGGCCTTAAAAAAATCGCACGACAAATTAGGAAAATGCCTCAGGGAAAAACTTCGGCCAAATCGGCGATTAATAGACTTTATCATCGTTGGAGACTAGCCCCAGGCCCCCTTAGCCGAATCCATGATCTGTAGCCTCTAAAATCCAACAAAAATATCATTTCGATAAAATCGCCCGAAATCTGTGATGGTACACCTTTGGAATCTGCCAAAAATGGACCCGAAAAAAACACGTTCAAATTGGTGATGATTAGACTTAATCATCGATGAAGAATAGTTTTAGGCCAAATTCGTAGCCCCTAAAATCAAGGTAAATTGGCCTTTTGAAAAAATCGCACGAGAGAAAGCAAGCGAGGAATTATAAGAGAGAGAGTAGAGAGAGAGTAGAGAGAAGTGCGATTGCTCGGTGACTGAGGGTTCGCGACTGTCTTAGTGCCGGCTCCGGCACCTGCGCCGGAGCAGCTCCCTTCCCCCTCTTATTCTGTTCTCTTATGAGTGAATCGAGTGCTGCGATACCCACTTCGGCTTCGGAGGTACTGAATGGTGATTCTCGGGGAATTCCATCGAAACCCTGGGCGTCGCTATTTGGGATCTCTGAGGCCAATCGCCTTACATACATTCCACCTGAGGTAATCAATGGAGGTCTGAGGATGCCTAAGGCTGTTCGTGAGGCACGAGCAGCTCGCTGGAGGCATTGTTTAGTTGGGCAGTTTTTGCAGGATACGCCTTCGCTCTATGTGTTGCGTCGCTGGGCTAATAAGCTGTGGGGACGCGCTGGACTGGTTAAGGTTTCGATGCTCTATGATAAGATGTTACTCATTCAGCTGCCGAATCAGAAGGTCTGTGAGTGGATCCTTGAGAATGGCCCGTGGTTCTGGTTCAATAATCTTCTGTATCTTCGGCCTTGGGTACCTGGTATCAGCTCCGAGGATTTGGGAAGGAAAGCTCTGCCTATTTGGGTGAATTTGATGAATGTTCCGCTTGAGTATAATGACTTTCAGGGGTTGAGCAGGATAGCGAGTTGGTTTGGGGTTCCGCTGGGAATGGATCATACAACTCGAATGGGGGCTAGGCATGGCTTCGCAAAGGTCCTGGTTGAGCTCACAGTGGATAGTGAATGCCCCGACCATGTTCTTCTATGGCCTGATGATGACTCCTCCATTCGCATTGGTATTACCTATTGCAACTTGCCCCCTATTTGCCATGTCTGTCATCTTTTTGGCATCACTGGTTCCTTTGCTGATCATCATGGTAAGCAGTGGGTAGCAAAGTCAGTGCCAATTGAGGAAAATGCTGTTCAGGGACAGGTTAATCTCGAGCAGACAGTGAGTGTGGACAGAGATATGGTTGAGGGTGAGCCTATGGAGCAACAGAAGGCGCTGGATAAGGGTAAGGAAGTGGTTCTCTATGATACGGATCCTCAGTTGATGGCTATATTTTCCACTCCAGGTCTGGAGGGAGGCAGCAAGGTTGTTCCTCAGAATTTGGAAAAGTATTTTCAGGAAGTGGCTACTTCTGCATCACCAAAGCTGCCATCAGAAGCAGAGTTTCAACGGGTAGTCAATGGGGCTAAGCCTCGCATCTGGCTCTCGCAGGACAGTTCTAAAGGTATTCAGATTTCAAGCTCCTCTTTTGGTGTTTTAGGGAAGCTGAGTGATCAGGAGGCTGAGAAGGGGGATAGTAAGATACTGGAAGCTCCAAAGAAAAAGGAAGTGAAGAAAGATTTGAAGAGAGGTGGGGGGAAACCCCCTACTTCGAAATGATTGTTTTGTTCTGGAATGTAAGGGGGTTTAATAAAACCTCCAAGCAGAGGGACTTGATGCAAGTCCTTCGTAGAAGAAGAGTGGATGTAGTAGCAGTTCTTGAAACTAGAGTGCAGGCAAATAAAGCAGAGGAAGTTGTGGAAGAGGTTTTTGTGGGGTGGGAGAGATGTCTCAACTGTTATGATTCAAAGTTGGGGAGGGTATGGTTGTTTTGGGATCTAGCTGTGAAGGTACAGATATTAAAACCACGAAAAAATTTTATTCATTGCTTGATAGAGGATATAAATAAGGATTCCTTTTTCTTTACAGCAGTATATGCCTCAAATGATGAGGCAGAAAGGGTACAAACTTATAAGGAGATTGCTCAGTTGAAAGTGGTTGGATATTCCTGGATAATTGGAGGGGACTTTAACACTGTTAGGTCTCCTCAAGAGACTTCTAATCAGAGGTCCTCTACTTCAAGTATGAGGAGTTCAATAAGTGGATTGATGAGATGGAACTGGTGGATTATAGAACAACAGGACCACAATTTACTTGGACCAATAGGCAAGCTCAGCAACCTATTGCTCGACATTTGGATAGAGGTATGGTTAATATTGAGTGGATAGAGCAGTTCAAAAATTGCACTATGGAAGCTATCCCTGCCCCATTTTCTGACCACTGTGGAATTCTGGTATCTACAGAGGCACCTATCAAAACTTTGCCCAAACCCTTCAAGTTCTTTGAGTTTTGGGCAGAGCACCCTCTCTTTTTGACAATAGTAGAAGAAGCATGGAAAGGGGATGTCTCTGGGTCTCCTATTCAGGTTGTTCAAGCAAAAATGAGTAGGGTTAAGCAAGCTTTAAAGAGGTTTAACAAGGAAGTGTATGATAACTTACAGGATCAAGTTAAGGAGGCTGAGGGAGAATTAATGCGGGCTCAAGCAGTAGCATATCAGGATCCTACCTCTGGCAATTTTGAGGCTGTTTCTATTAAGAAGGATCAGTATGATCACATAATTTCAGCTTATGGTAGTTTCTGTTGGCAAAAATCAAGGGTTTCCTGGTTAAAGGTGGGGGATCAGAGTTCCAATTTCTTTCATCAGGCTGTCAGGATTCATAATTCTAAGCGGGCTATCAGGAAGTTAGTTACTGACTCTGGAGTGGAATTGTATCAGGTGGAGCAGATTGTAGAGGAGGTTCTGGGATACTATAAAAAACTCCTAGGGGAA